CTGCATTTTTCTTGGAGCTGTCGTGCAGTGAAGATCATGTCCACAGTTCCTCTGGAGGGGCGGAAGCCGTTCTGGGATTCTGGGAGGGTGTCTTCTGAGAGGGACAGAAAGTGGTTTGCAAGGATTCTTGCGAGGATTTTCCCAGCGGAGGTTAGAAGGTTCTTTTATTCCTCTGTAAATAAACTAGTGCAATTGTGGTGGGACAGCAAGCTCATGTGATGAAGTCCTTGTTTCAATTTGAACTATGAGTCTGAGCCTAGTTCAAAAACCAAGTGAGACTCAGCAGAAAATTCTGCCTGGATTTTTTCTGTGAACATATCAGAACCAGCTTCTCCTTTTCATAATTTCTAGGCATTCTCTCTTCTTTCCTCAACCGCATATATACACTGATGCCCTCTAGGCTTCAGCAATCTGTAATAAAAGTAGGAACCTCCATGGGAAAATGCAGGAATCAGCATATATTGTTTTGTCTAAACTTGATTTTAAATATAAATGTGCAAAAATATCATGTTCCCTGTTTCACCCCATATAATTCATTTTTCATTCCCAACTACCTATTTCAGTTTAATTTATCTTTACATTGTTCCAGTGTCTGTAAGGATTGCTGGTTTAAAATGTCATGCAGTCATAAAGAGAAAGAAAATATCATGGCCTGATATTTTTTTTTCCAATCTCGTGACCCTGATGGATCAAAGCCTTTACTTTTCAGAGAGTACAGCCTGAACAGCTAATAATAATTTACTATTGAAAAAACAATCTTTTCTACAAATCATGTTTCTATATGGAGGTGTGCCAAAAACAAATAGCTACTGGAAATAATATGTAACTGTTATCATTTTGACATTCCTAGAGCTGAGTGGCTCTGGGTTAAAGAAAAAGCCACGAAGTATGATTTTGATCATACACAGCTTCATTTGGCACGATTATCTGGCATTAATGTAAACCTTTGCTAAGAGTGAAAAATGTTATTGCTCTTTTAAATAGCTGTGCCCTTTCTCCCTTTGTTGCTCCTTATCCCCAGAACTGCATTCGAAAACATCTGCCTAACATAAATATTTTTTCCCTTCAAATAGCTGTTCGAAAGTTATCTCTTCCATTTAATCTTTGAAATAAAACCAAGGTATTTATGACTCCATTACACTACGTAACACGATTTTTGTTCCTGGGTTATAAACATCATTTTTTAATTGGTTCTATCATAAAAACATGGAAAAACTTTATTAAACTGCAAAAAAAAATGTTTTTGTGGGACAACCTGCAACACATTTTGCTATAGTTTTTAAATTATTTTGTGTGTGTGTATGTGTCAGGAGCGACATGAGAAACTTCAGGTCGCTTCTGATGTGAGAGAATTGGCAATCTGCAAGAACGTTGCCCAGGGGATGCCGGGATAGTTTTTGATGTTTTACCATCCTTCTGGGAGGCTTCTCTGATGTCCTTGCATAGGAAGCTGGAGCTGACATGTTTATTACTTACTTACTTACTTACTTTATTTACTGCTTTTCTCAGCTCTCAGGCAACTCAAAGCGGTGAACAACATCTATACAAAACATCACGCGTCCTTCTCCTCTCAGAGAAGGCTGAGAGGAGATATGATATCCATGTATAAATATGTGAGAGGAAGCCACAGGGAGGAGGGAGCAAGCTTGTTTTCTGCTTCCTTGGAGACTAGGACGCGGAACAATGGCTTCAACTACAAGAGAGGAGATTCCATCTGAACATTAGGAAGAACTTCCTGACTGTGAGAGCCGTTCAGCAGTGGAACTCTCTGCCCCGGAGTGTGGTGGAGGCTCCTTCTTTGGAAGCTTTTAAGCAGAGGCTGGATGGCCATCTGTCAGGGGTGGTTTGAATGCAATATTCCTGCTTCTTGGCAGGGGGTTGGACTGGATGGCCCATGAGGTCTCTTCCAACTCTTTGATTCTATGATTCTATGATTCTATGATTCTGTGATTCTATGATTCTATGATCACGAGACAAGTTTAGGGCAATTAAAAACAATTGTAACATAAATCATTAAACATCAGAATAACAATTATTAGTGCCTCAACAGTAAAATCAGAATCCAGTCTCATCATCCATTATTCCATTCCTATGTTCAATTACACTGTTTAATCAAATGCTTGTTCGAACAGCCAGGTCTTCACTTTCCTCCGGAACGCCAGCAGGGAGGGGGCCAATCTGATATCTGCAGGCAGGGCATTCCACAGCCGAGGGGCCACCACTGAGAAGGCCCTTTGAATCATAGAATCAAAGAGTTGGAAGACCTCATGGGCCATCCAGTCCAACCCCCTGCCAAGAAGCAGGAATATTGCATTCAAATCACCCCTGACAGATGGCCATCCAGCCTCTGTTTAAAAGCTTCCAAAGAAGGAGCCTCCACCACACTCCGGGGCAGAGAGTTCCACTGCTGAACGGCTCTCACAGTCAGGAAGTTCTTCCTCATGTTCAGATGGAATCCTCTTTCCTTAGTTTGAAGCCATTGTTTCACGTCCTAATCTCCAGGGAAGCAGAAAACAAGCTTGCTCCCTCCTCCCTGTGGCTTCCTCTCACATATTTATACATGGCTATCATATCTCCTCTCAGCCTTCTCTGCTTCAGGCTAAACATGCCCAGCTCCTTAAGCCACTCCTCATAAATTGTCACCTATTTGGGAAAAATAAGTTCATAAACTCATTTTTTTTAAGTAATTTTTTTTGTCGTGTCAGGAGTGACTCCTGGTGTGAGAGAATTGGCCATCTGCAAGGACATTGCCCAGGAGACGCCTGGATGATTTGATGTTTTTATCATCCTTGTGGGAGGCTTCTCTCATGTCCCCGAATGAGGAGCTGGAGCTGATAGAGGGAGCTCATCCGCCTCTCCCCAGATTCAAACCTGTGACCTGTCGGTCTTCAGTCCTGCCGGCACAGGGGTTTAACCATTATTATTATTATTGTTATTACATTTACATTATTTTAGTCTATTATTATTATTACATTTATTATTTTTCTTTATTTATTATTATTATTACAGTTATTATTTTATTCTATTACTGCTGTTATTACATTTATTATTTCACTCTATTATTATTGGAAGAATACAAAAGCACATTTACATTGAAGAAGATTAGAATAATGGTTTAATCAGAGTTGGACAGTTTTATCTTAAATTACAGTTTTATGAAAATATTCAAAAACGTTTAACCGATTGATGCCTCAATTAATGTAATTTAATTGGTATCTAATTTTATGTTGAAATTGACTTGTAGCTGCTGCATTTCCTCGCTTTATACTCAAGTCAATACATTTTCCCATTTTTTTGTGTGGTAAAATTAGATTTATTTATTTGTCGTGTCAGGTTAACCAGTCAACTGTATTACATTTCTAACAGAACAAAACAAACAGACAGACAAAATACAAAATTTGCAAGTTTGGTAGTTGATTAAATGTCCTTTGACTAGTATCTGGCCACTTGGAGTGCTTCTGGTGTTGCTGCAAGAAGGTCCTCCATTGTGCATGTGGCAGGGCTCAGGTTGCATTGCAGCAGGTGGTCAGTGGTTTGCTCTTCTCCCCACTCACATGTCATGGATTCCACTCTGTGGCCCCATTTCTTGAGGTTGGCTCTGCATCTCATGGTGCCAGAGCGCAGTCTGTTCAGCGCCTTCCAAGTCGCCCAGTCTTCTGTGTGCCCAGGGGGGAGTCTCTCATTTGGTATCAGCCATTGGTTGAGGTTCTGGGGTTGAGCCTGCCACTTTTGGACTCTCGCTTGCTGAGGTGGGTAAAATCAGATGCCTTGGCTTATATTCGGGCCGGCTTATACTTGGGTATATACGGTAATTGCAATAGTTTTCTTCCCACTGAGAATATTCATCTATTGTAGTGTCTTCATGTTCGACTATCTCACAATGTTCTGGAGCATCTGTGGTGGAGAAACATGATCCACAACATTTTATTCCTACTATCATCAAGTCTCATAAAAAATGCTGGAGGAACAGATTCCCCTCTCTTCTCCATTATTCCATCTTCCCTTCCTCCCTCCCTCCTCTCTGTTTCCTTTTAGAGTTATAGAATAGTCCTTTTTAATTACAACTCCATAATTCTTTTTTTTAAAAAAATCAGAGGACAGAAAATTTGCTTTACAAGCCATGGGATCATCTCAACAAACCATGAGCCAGGAAGAAAAGCTTTAATACATACCCAAAAAATTGCTACAAAAGATCCCCCCAAAAAGAATGAATGGATGCAGAGATGACAACTAGCAAGAACCAAAAAGCTGTATGGTGACAGTCCATGCTTCTTTAGACCAATCTGGAAGATTCCTCACTCTGTTGTCTCTATACATGTGGCGCAGCTGGCTGAGTGTCAGCTGCATTAAAGATCACTCTGACCAAAAAGTCATGAGTTCGAAGCCAGCCCGGGTTGGAGTGGGTTTCCAACCAATTGTGTGTAGCCTGTTGTCAACCTTTGCAACCCGAAAGACAGTTGCATCTGTCAAGTAGGAAAATTAGGTACCACCTTAAAGTGTGGGGAGGGTAAATTAACTGATTTATGAGGCCAGAAAGAAGACTCCTGCAAAGCATTCCAGCGGGGAAGCATGCGGGGAATGCGGAAGTGCTTCATCAGCGTCACAGATGGACGATGAAAGCGACAGCTCCCCTGGCGGCCAGAAAAAGTTAAATAGCCTCTGTGTATGTTTGTATATGTTTGTATGTCAAAAATTGGCTTTGAATGTTTGCCATATATGTGTACACTGTAATCCGCCCTGAGTTCCCTGCGGGGTGAGAAGGGCGGAATATAAAAGCTGTAAAATAAATAAATAAATAAATAAATAAATAAAAGGCCAGGAGGTTGCTGAGATCTGGATCTGTCCTTTTGGCAGCCAGTTGACACTTTTGAACATTTGGGTAGTGGGATAGGATTGTCAGCATTGCAATATGACTAAGGTTTAGTTGGTTTAATTTTGTTTCAGTCTATTTCTTTACGAACAACTCATCCTTATAATGCTTTTTGTCCCTTACTTTAAAGGATCATCTGTTTCATCTAGAATCTCACAGACTTGAGAGGGGACGTGGCCGGTGCCCATTTGACCCCAGTTCCTCCTTCATCTCCACTTTATTTGGTAATGACTTGACACATAACAGAAACAGTCTTTTTGATTTCTCTTCTTTAATTCTCTATGGAGTTTGCGGTACCCGTTTACAAACTTTGATGTGCTGATTCTGGTTTTGCTTACATTCAAGTTACATTGTACAGTCATTGTATACTGATTGATGACTGGCTTGTATATTACAGTCCTGTTCTATGATTTGTTTTGGCTTGATGTTTCTTTGCCTCCAAGCTCATTTCCCTCTCTCTTTCCCCCACAAGGAAAAAGAAAAAAATAATAGGTTGTTGTAGGTTTTTTCGAGCTATATGGCCATGGTCTAGAGGCATTCTCTCCTGACGTTTCACTTGCATCTATGGCAAGCATCCTCAGAGGTAGTGAGGTCTGTTAAAAGTAGGAAAATGGGTTTATATATCTGTTGAATGACCAGGGTGAGACAAAGGACTCTTGTCTGCTGGAGCTAGGTGTGAATGTTGTCCACATGCTTGGACAGAAATGCTGGATCACTCCAACAACCACCATGTCAGACTACACAGAGAAGCCACTGAAATCCACAAGCATGTGGACAATTTCAACAGAAAGGAGGAAACCATGAAAATGAACAAAATCTGGCTACCTCTGAGGATGCTGGCCATAGATGCAGGTAAAATGTCAGGAGAGAATGCCTCTAGACCATGGCCATATATCCCGAAAAAATCTACAACAACCCAGTGATTCCGGCCATGAAATCTTTCGACAATACAAAAAATAATAGATTGCATCAAAAACATGTATGTTCTTGGTCTACCTGGAACTTTTATTTTCCTCTGCTTTATATATATATATTTTCTGGATATTTGAAATGTGCTTGTGTCAATTTTACTATTTCTCCCCTTGAGAAATTTCTCAAACTGGACAGTTTTCAAGGATTATTTTAAATCAAATTAAGTATTTTAAGGTCAGATGTGAGTGTTTTGCACAGAAATTTATTTATTTATTTACTTTACTTTACTTTACTTGTATACCGCTCTTCTCAGCCATCAGGCGACTCAGAGCGGTTAACAACCAGTATCAGCAACACAGTACAAAATCATTAGTCATTTAAAACAGTAGTATCAATTAATTAACATCAAAAACATCAATACAACAATACAGCAAAACAACAACAATTGTATTATAATATCATAAAATCATGCCAAAATGTGTATTGGAAATAAACCATGTCCATGGAGTGATGGAATTCTATCTCTTCTACACCATATTCGAGAAGCCATCCATAAGAAAATATAGAAAAAGCTAAATGTAGTCCAGTTATACCACAATAATGCATGATTTCCTATTTCTTTGGCAGCATGACAAGTTCATGCTAGAGCTGCCATATCTTCCTTATCTGATACCCTCAAATTTTCACTTGTTTGATTGGATGAAGAAAAGCTTTTGTGATGGTGCTTAGATAAACTGAAAGATGCTATCTGACACTGGACTGGGAGTGCCCAAAAGAGGTTTTTCAAAGGAGGTCTAGATGAGTGGTATCAAAGGTGGTACAAATATATGAGGGGTATTTTTAAAGTAAGGTCCGTTTGAACATAAGTACACAACGAAAGTTTATTTCAAAAAAGTAAATTTATTTTCAGAAAGTACATACTTCACTCTATTTTTCGACATAGTTGCCAAGTTTGTTCAAACACTTATCATACCTCTGAACCAATTTTAAAATACCCTCTTCATAAAAACTTGCCGCCTGCTCCGATAACCAAGAGTTCACTGTAATCAAAGAAGGGCGACCGGAGTGGTCCTCATCATGGACGTTGTCATGGCCATCTTTGAATTGTCGTACCCACTTACGCACTTTGCTTTCACTCATAACAGTATCACCGTACACTTCACAAATCTGTCGATGAATTTCTGCAGCAGGCAGGTTCCTTGCTGACAAAAACCATATCACTGAGCGAACCTCACATGCGGAGGGTGAGTTGATAGTCTTAAACATTTTTAAAGCACAGAACAGAACTGTACAGGTTAGCTACAGAGCGGAAACTGAGCACAGTTGTTCCCGAGGCATGCCGGTACACGACGCATGTGCTCGTTGCGGTATGCACGCGAACTACTAGTGTCTACAACAAAACGGACCTTACTTAAAAAATACCCCTCGTATTTCCACTGGTGGAAACTATTTAGAGCAGTACTATATGGTAGATAAAGAGTTAATTTACTCTTTATGTTGTTGCATATATCTTGTGTTATTAATAATATGACAGACATTACTTTCAGTACAACCTTCGTACACTACTAATTGAGAAGGAAGTTTTTCTTTAAGTTTAAAGTGGGCACTAGATAAATACCATACCATTTTTTTCAGCATCCTTTGAAAGACAACTATCTTGAGAATTCAGTTGTACACAAATGTATTCAAATTAAATCTGCCAATTTACATTTGCTTTGTATTATAAACTAGAACTTCTTTTTCATAATCAGACAGAATTGTTTAGAGGAGAGCTGCGGTCTGCTTAGTATGCATAGGAAGCCATTTTATAAGATCAGTAAACATATCAATTAAACAGCCCGTGTCTTCAAAGTTATCTTTTCTCAAGTAGGGACTGGAAAAACTGACAGTTGTGTCTACTTTTTCTTCATGTTCTTTTTCTCTCCACGTGACTCTATGGGCGTTGTGTCTCTTTTATGTATTTCAACAAGTCTCAAGGTTGTCCTGATCTTACGTGTGGATGGTGCTTTCCAAGGTGCTGAATCCTATGTACAGAATAGGATCGACATCTTTTATAGCTTCTTTAAAGTTTGGCCTAAGACCTGGAATAAATTCATTTTTCCCACTGACATGTAGGCCACTAATGATGATGATGATGATGATAATAATAATAATAATAATAATATAAAAATAATATTTATTTATTTGATCAGTCATATGAACATTTCAAAATAGAACATGAGTAAAAAACAAGGCAAAAAGGTGAGGACAGCAGCTGACCTTCTATTTAATAATAATAATACTTTATTTATACCCCGCTACCATCTCCCCAAGGGACTCAGTGTGGCTTACATGAGGCCGAGCCAAAGTACGTCAACAATAAAAGCAATAAGAAAGCAATCAATACAACAGTTAAAATAAATCTCATAAACAAAAATAAACAATAGACAGTAACAAAACAACAAGCATTTAAAACCTATGGCTGGGCCAAATGCAATAATTTAAAATTAAAAAATAACGCTGGACATGGACAAGGTTGGATATAACTGGGATAGAGTTTTCAGGTAGAGATGGGGTGCGCAGACAATCCTAAATCAGTGATAAAGTGCATTTAGAGACATATTGCTGAGGGTATTTCCTTATTCTGGGAAGGCACATTGGAACAACCATGTTTTCAGGCTCCTACTAAAGACTGCCAGAGTTGGGGCATGGCTGATGTCCCTGGGAAACGAGTTCCAGAGTCGGGGGGCCACCACTGAGAAGGCCCTCTCCCTCGTCCCCACACATCGTGCCTGCGATACAGGAGGGGGCGCAAGCAGGGCCTCTCCAGATGATCATGTGGGTTCGTACACAGAAATGCGGTCATGCAGGTAGGCGGGTCCCAAACCATTCAGGGCTTTGTAGGTAAGAACCTACACCTTGAATTGGGACCGGAAAATGAACGGCAGTCAGTGGAGCTCCTTAATAATACACTACTATATTATTTACATATTCAGTGGCACTCATTCCAAAGTTTAAGAGAGAGAGAAATGATTACTTGGGTGTTTGGAGACTCTAAGGTTACAGTGCCATCTGAGATATTGTCTCTAAGGAATTGTTTTCAAAGCCCTGTTATAACTGTCTTTGCAGTTGGTTTCACTTGCTAATATGGTCTTATACTTCAGTAATGCTGGCATTACAAAGCAATGAAAGTCAAAACTTCACATGGGCCGTACAAGCAAAGGTCTGTCAGCTTATTATAACGGCTTCAAAATCATTATTTAGTTTTCTAATACCATTAATTTCAAATATATATTATCTGAACCAAATGAAATTTTCACTTTTCTGCAAACTGCAAGTATGAACTGCAAATCCTCCAAAAATAATGTAATAGTTGTCATGAATGTTGAAAATGTAATTTTAAAAAAATAGTTTAAATGTGTCAGATTAGTTTTACTTAAGCTAATGCTGAAATGGACGTGTGTGTGTTTTGGTTAAAGAACAATATAATATGCACAAAGTTTTATTTGAAAGGACAGAGTTTATTTTCTTTCCCGGGTATAATCAATTGATGCCTTCCCATTGTTTTGTGACATACGGGCACCATCTAGTGACAAATATATGAAAGACACTTTGAGAATCAGGGACCAATATGCATGTTGGCTTGAAACAAAACCCCAAATACTTTTATTATGACCAGTTTTTATCTATGTATATATTTTGTGTGTTTATTTATATCTTGTTTATTTAAATCTCACCTTTTCTCAAGAGGGCAGATTCAAGGCCATTTAAAAAGAGTGACCTAAAACACTAGTTTACCAAAGTTAAAAATAATTAAAGAACAATATTATGTTTTGAAAATGCACTTTAAAATGATTCACAGTATTTTAAATATTTAAAACCTAATTTCCAGCAAAAAATAGAGCAAATATAGTACACGACTTTACACATAAACACTATCGCTCAATAATTAAGCCTGATTAAATAAAAATGTCCTCAGCTGGTGGAAAGAGAGCAGAGAAGGAGCCAACCAGACCTTTCGTGAAATGCAGCTCCACAGCTTGGAGCAACCACAGGAAAGGACCTTTCCTGAATCCATAACAAACTAACACCCAAAGGTGGTGGATCTGAGAAAAAGCTCTCCTATGCAAATCTCAAAACTTGAGCTGCCCTGTATAAGGAGATAGGGACTTTCAGATAATCTGGATCCATGCTGTGCTAAGTTTTAAAAGTCAAAACTTGCTGTTTGAATTCTGCCTTGTACAGGCCAATAGCAAATGTTTCTGTGGTTGCTTGACTCCTGTTACCAGTCTCGATTAACATCCTGGCTACATGCAACAACTATGGTTACCAGAATTCTTCAACATACTACTTCAACATATGGTTCCTTGAATTGTCTGCATGTTTTAAGCAAGGTTTCTAAGTGCATCATAAGTATGTGCATTGTGCATCTGCACATGGTTTGGTAACAGCACAGTGACAGATAGGAAAGTGCTCCAATAATAATAATAATAATAATAATAATAATAATAATAATAATAATAATCTTTATTTCTACCCCCTCCATCTCCCCGATGGGGACTTGGGGCAGCTTACATGAGGCCAAGCCCAACAACATAATACAATGACTCAAAACATATACAACAGACAACAACAACATTACCAAAATGATATTAAAAATAAAATAGTAATAATAATAATAATAATAATAATAATAATAATAATAATAATATAAAATAAATATTCCAATAGACACAATCACAATAGAGATGACAATGGGCGGGCCACATATTCCAAATAAAAAAAACAATTAACAGACTATGATGAGGTAAAATAGGAGCAGGACATTTAAATGGAACTCATAAAACACACAGAGTTGTGGGACAGAACATCTTAGTTGGAGGGCATGAACTCCATTAGCTGAAAACATTGAGGGGGTGTAAAATATCATGCTGTGCACCTACTCGCCAAAGGCGCAGCTGAAAAGCCAGGTTTTGAGGTTCTTTTTAAATGTTTCCAGTACAGAAAATCATTGGTTGCCCTCTCCCCACTTTGGAAGAACTTTACAAGTCTTACAGCTTTAAGAAAGCTGATAACATTCTTAAGATCCATCTCACCAAGTATATTCTTTTTTTTCTTTTTCTTTTTTCTTTTTTGTATTATTACCATCTGGCAAACGGTACAGGGCGATAAAGACAATGACAAACAAATTGAGAGATAACTTTTATCCTGGAGCTGTAACTATATTGAACTCCATGGTTTCACAGTGATGTGACATTGGGGGTTGTGCGTGGTGGTTGGAGAGTGCAGGAATGGGTGTGTTGTGTTATGATGCATCCTGGGGAAAGCATTTCATTTTGCTGTGAAATAGTACAATGACAACAAAACTATTCTATTCTGTTGTGACCCTCTGGCTACCAGGAGTGGGAGGGTGAATGCTGGTTGTTGGGAAAGGGGAAATCTATGAACCAATAAATACAATATATTATGGGAAATCTATGTTGAACTTTTTTTCCTGAGACAGTAGCCTTTTGTTGACATGGAGATTTTTTTAGAGCAGAGAATGTGCAATAATGCCTCACCTGCCATCTGAAGTGGTAACAGTTCAGGGAATGTTTTGCTATCTTTTCTGCTGCTTGTGTAAAGTGGGTCTTAATCATGTTAAACAGAAGTTTTCACATGCTATGGTGGTGATGAGGTATGTTACATAAGCATGACAATCCTATATACTTATTCTTGATACATTTGGTCTACAGGTGGGGAGTTGTTTACCGGACTATATAGTGACTACTGGGGAAGAGATGCAGCAATCTTCCGTACAATGGGCCGCATGGCACACATCCGGACCGAACCAGATGATGACCGTCTGCTGAAAGGTACAAGGGGTCCGTAAGAAATCTTCATTAAAAATGAAAAATAGTATTGTGTTTGTGCAGTTTGTTGTTGTTAATAATAATAATAATAATAATAATAATAATAATAATGTAATCAAAATTTGAATTCTTTGACTGCTATTTCCATTTTGGTTAATGACTGAGCCCGGGGTTTAGAAAATCTATAACAATTTCAATGTTGTTGTTGCCCACTTCATGTTTTGATAATTGTTTTGGGATATATATATATATATATATATATATATATGCTTCTAACCTTAATCCTTTATTTTCATCAGTAGTCATTCCAAGTCTTTGCTGTTTCCTGTTAGTAATATGGTGTGATCTACATATCTTAAAGGATGTGAGATTCTTTCTCTCCAGTTTTCACACCTTTATGCTCCATGACTAGCTATGTTTTTTCATATGGTTTTGCATGGAGTGTGTGTATTTTTATTATTATTTATTTCGCGCATTTCTACCCCGCTCTTCTCAACCCCCGAGGGGGGACTCAGGGCGGCTTACAAAAGGCACAATTCGATGCCAGCAAAACAGATAATAAGATAAAACATATATCAACAACAATTATAAAACAATTAAAACAATCCAGTTATACATCACAATTAATAAAAACCAATCTAATGATCAACGTTCGCCAAGCTCAGAATCCATAAGTTCATTCCGCATTGTCAAATCCTATCCAATTCTAGTCGTCATTATCCTTTGTCTGTCTGCCAGATTACCCAAAGGCCTGGTCCCATATCCATGTTTTGGTCCCATATCCATGTCTTTTAGTTTCCTTCTAAAAGAGAGGAGGGATGTCGATGACCTAATTTCCCTGCGAAGTGAATTCCACAGGRGAGGGGCCACCACTGAGAAGGTCCTGCTCCTCATCCCCACCAATCTCACTTGTGATAGAGGTGGGGCAGAGAGCAGGGCCTCCCCAGAAGATCTTAAACTCCGAGGCGGGACGTAGAAGGAGTTGCGTTTGGACAGATATGCTGGGCCYGAGKCGTATAGGGTTTTGTAGGTCAAAACCAGCACTTTGAATTSTGCTCGYAACTGGATTGGCAGCCWGTGGAGCTGAKATAACAGAGGGGTGGTATGTTCCCTGTACGTGTTAAGAGAGATCTCAAAAACTCCTTGTTGAGTGTTCAGGTCTGATTTGCTTATTTGTTTGTTTTGGGGGGGGGGGTTAGTTTTTGTTTTTATTTTGTTTTTTGCACTCCATAAGAGTTCATCTACGCGTTCTTTCCTACCCCCCACCTACCCCCTTCTTTTTATTTTTTTCTCCTTTTCCCCTCTCCTTTCTCCTTTCTACTCTCTTCTTTCCCCGTCTTTTAATACTATATCTACTTCACAATGTTCCCCCACTTTCAATGTATGTGGACTCGTTTTATCTTAAAATATAATCTCATCTCTTTTCTATCCAGCTCCGCTCTTGGGAGCACATTATTCTAAATAAAAACAATTAAAAAAAGATTTAGGGTGACCGCAAGTCTAAATTTTAAGGTGGGACCAGACAAATTACTTTGGAGGGCTGCATCTGGATTACGAGCCTTAGTTTGCGGACCTCTGTGTTATAACAGAAGAGGAATTGTATACACAGCTACCCAAAATATAAAAATTAGTATTTAGTTTATCATGATAAATTCAAACTGTTGTTTTCAAATAGTTCATGGCTAAAGACAAAGGTAACAAAATATTTTCAATGTGCACATCTTACTCTTAGCATAAGTATCAACTCCCTGCTCCCAGTGCCAAGTGAATATTGCTCAGTGGCTCCAATTCATGTTTAGCAAAGAGCCACAGATGGCTGCATCAGCTCCATGCCAAGTTTCAGGTAATATACATTAAAAGAAATGAACCCCTGAGAATAAGGTTGGGGAAAGATCTCAGTTCTTTTCTCAATATATGAAAAAATATTGATATAGAAGTTGGAGCTCCAGAAATATTTTCAAAGCTGATATTCTCCATATGTTCCAAGAAGATTCACACACATGAAACTGTTTAAAGATTGCTCCCCCCCCCCCCTAGAGATTGTGGTTGTATAGGTTCTATTCCTGTTTACCAGGAATGGAATATTGCCAGTGCATATGTGTTTGTACTTTAGGCAGGACTTCAGGGAAACAGTGTCACTCAAATGTCATAAAACTGATGCACTAATGTTTTCTCAACTTTGCTTCACCCAAATCATTTTGCCAATTCATTATCATGTTTACTTTGGGGTAGGCTCCATTGAATTCAGAGGAGAGGGTGTTCTGATTAGACAGTCATAGTGCCAATCTTTTATCCCCCCCCCCCCCGGCTTTTCAGTTTGCTCTTACAGTCAGCACTCTATATTCATATGAGGGGTATTTTTTAAGTAAGGTCCGTTTTGTTGTAGACACTAGTAGTTCGCGTGCATAGCGCAACGAGCACGTGCGTCGTGTACCGGCATGCCTCGAGAACAACTGTGCTCAGTTTCCGCTCTGTAGCTAACCTGTACGGTTCTATTCTGCGCTTTAAAAATGTTTAAGACTATCAACTCACCCTCTGCATGTGAGGTTCACTCAGTGATATGGTTTTTGTCAGCAAGGAACCTGCCTGCTGCGAAATTCATCGACAGATTTGTGAAGTGTACGGTGATACTGTTATGAGTGAAAGCAAAGTGTGTAAGTGGGTACGACAATTCAAAGATGGCCATGACAATGTCCATGATGAGGACCGCTCCAGTCGCCCTTCTTTGATTACAGACAATTTGGTGGCTTCAGTTGAAGCGAGGATTCGTGAGAACAGGCGCTTCACAATAACACAAAAATTCTCTCAAACAAATTTCCTGACGTGTCGAGATCAGTGCTTAACAACATTGTTTCTGAACACCTAAAGTTTAGGAAACTGTGCTCCTGTTGGGTCCCGAAACTTCTAACAGAGGACCACAAAAACCAAAGATTTGAGTGTGCGATCAAATCAAATCGCCTGTAATCAAAGAAGGGCGACCGGAGCAGTCCTCAACATGGACGTTGTCACGGCCATCTTTGAATTGTCATACCCACTTAATGCACTTTGCTTTCACTCATAACAGTATCACCGTACACTTCACAAATCTGTCGATGAATTTCTACAGCAGGCAGGTTCCTTGCTGACAAAAACCGTATCACTGAGCGAACCTCACATGTGGCGGGTGAGTTGATAGTCTTAAACATTTTTAAAGCACAGAACAGAACTGTACGGGTTAGCTACAGAGCGGAAACTGAGCACAGTTGTTCCCGAGGCATGCTAGTACACAACGCATGTGTTCGTTGCAGTATGCGCGCAAACTACTTGTGTCTACAACAAAACGGACCTTACTTAAAAAATACCCCTCGTAGTTCTACACCTACATCAACCAATCATGCCTCAAAGATAATTGGGGGGGGGGGATTCCAAAAAGTAAATCTTGATTTTGCCATGTGCTCAGCACTACATTAAAATGTAAGCATATTCTGCATACCTTGGCCTAGTCAATGCCTATGTCTTACCAGGGCCATTTTAGAATCTCAAAACTGAAAATCGAACAAATTAATTGCATGCATGTATTTGCTTGATTCTGAAATCAAATGGATCTCTTCCTCTTCTTTTTCTTTCTTTCCTAAAGAACCTAAATTTGTGAGCTCCTTTCTGATTCCTGACAATGAAGACCAGGAAGATAACAAGGTGTACTTCTTCTTCACTGAGAAAGCATTAGAGGCTGAAACTGGAGCACATGCGATCTACTCCAGAGTGGGAAGAATGTGTGCAGTAAGGAAAACTCTTTTTGATTTTTTTAAAAAACCTTTTACTTCCAATGTGCTCCTTTGTTTTGTCCTCTTTTTACTTTGGAAACTGCTAGACCCAGGCCCGTAGCCAGGATTTTGATTTGGGGGGAGGGGGGCTGAATCTGAGTGAAAGAGGGTCTAT